GGGGGGCGGTTTAAGAACCAAACCGCTTATCACCTGCTTTCATCTTCTTTGTCACTAATGTAATGGGGAAAATGTAATCTCCCACCCAGCGCGGGATGCAGCAGCCCCCTGGTGTGTTGTAACGCAGCAGTGCATTAAAGCAGCAGTGCATTAAAGCAGCATTGCATTAAAGCAGCATTGCATTAAAGCAGCATTGCATTAAAGCAGCAGTGCATTAAAGCAGCAGTGCATTAAAGCAGCAGTGCATTAAAGCAGCATTGCATTAAAGCAGCAGTGCATTAAAGCAGCAGTGCATTAAAGCAGCAGTGCAGTAACACACGCCTTGCAACAGGACTGCGCAGAGCCACAGTGTCAGCCGGCGTGATGCATTTTCACTCCTACAAGCGATCAGAATTATTTTAAGCAAATAAATATTGACTCCAAAGTATTTAGGACGTAAGATGAATGCTGAATTCTGGGGCGGGGCTCTCTGGACCCGTCCCTCGCTGCCCCCCTTCACAGGCCTATGAAATCCACTGGGCTATAAACACCCCCTCCCCAACCCACCAGCAGGTGGGCTGACCTCCAAGCGGCAGCGACCCTTCTCAAGTTGTTTAGCTTTTTAAAGGCAAGTAAGTGTTTGTAGCTGGGGGTGGGAGGGCCGCCCAGAGCCCGCTTCAAGGGAAGTGACATCAGCATCAGCGGGTGACGTCCTGCAAAGGCGCGCTCTCTCTCTCTCTCTCTCTCTCTCTCTCTCTCTTTCTTTTTTCAGAGAAAATTATACTTTTTTATAGTACATCATGCAGCCCCCCCCCCATCTGTCCATATACCCGGTAGATTAAAATCACACACGACGGCTCCAGCACAGTGATTGGACATCGGGTTGTCATGGCGATGAGCCACGTTAATCCAAACCCGAGCTGATATGACAGGGACATGAACGAGGAGGAGGACAACTTCATTGAAACACAGAGTGGAGACAGGGGGAGGGAGGGGGGGGGGGGGGGGGGGGAGGGCGGGGAAGGGGGGGGGGGCAGTACCTGCTCCTTCACGGATGCCAGGAGCTTGTGGGGGGTGCCACCGGGCTCCATGGTGCGGCCGGGGGGTCCCTCA